TGTATCATTATAACAACATTGGCATGGGCCTTGCAATTGACCATTTATTTATCTAATCATTGAAAATCATGTGATCATTGATTATTGATATATGATTTATATGACCACTGAAAAATATCTGGCACACTGCCCAGAAACCTCTAACCATTTTCAGCTTCTGACATAGTCGTATCAACAAACATCAGAGAACACCCAGGGCCACATATGACTTTCATGGGCTCTGGGCTCTTGTGTCTGTGGTTCTTTCCTCCATTAAAAAAAGAAGTAAAATAATTTAGTAGATTTTTCAGAAGCCCTAAAATTTTCATTTTTTTTTCCTGATGGGTGAAAAATTTGAAAACAATTTCTTTAACCCTAAAAAGTTTTTTGGTGTTGTGGTAGTTTTCAAAAAAATGAAATCATTTTACAGATATCACGATGGCTTAAGCACAGTAAAAAATTGTGCCTGATGGACAAGTCAGATCTGTCTTTGTCAGACACCAAATTATTCACCCACCTTCCACCTCCCCTTTCACTGACCCTGTTTAAGTAGTGTTTGATTCATCATCTCTCTCCCATAGCCTTGGTAGCCATGGACTTACAAGCCATTCTTCCTCCTTCATTCAGCATGGTTTCGTTCTACCCTACAGTTTCATTTTTTCCCCAGTGTGTGTGTGTGTGTGTGTGTGTGTGTGTGTGTGTGTGTGTACCTCCCCAGAAGAAAACATGGGTGTTAAGATAGACCAGGTATGTCTTCATAATACAACCCATGCTCAACTAGTACAGTAGTTGAGTAATAATTGACTATTGAAAAGTATTTCTCTGGTTAGCCTTTCATTTGTTATTTTTAATCTAAAATTTTTACTATGCTATGCTTTGATGTTTTACTGTGCTATGTCTTGGTATCAATTTTAATTTATCAATTATACTTTATTTCTAATCTTGAATCTTTTATAAGTACTGTAAAAAATATTCTTAACTTCTAATATGACTTCAGATTTGATTATTATGTCTCCCATGGTTTGCAGTTTCTCCATCTTTGGTATCTAGTTTCACAATCTTTTCACTTATTCATTTTCTCAAATTTTAGATTTTTTTAAATGTATACTTTGTTTCATTGATTACATTTTTTGAAACTTTAATTATTCTGTTTACTATTTTTAACAACTATTTAAACTATTGTAATTCCCCTCTCTTTCTTTTTTTCTAGCTGAGCCGTCCTGCCACCTTTTGGCAGCTCAGCTCGGGCGGGACTTGAACCGCTGTTGCTGAGCCACTCGGCTGGCCCTCCCCTCTCTTTCACTTCACCTTTATTCTAGCCCAATTTTATTTAATATGTTTAATTTATTCATATATATTCATATATATATGATATATATATATATACACACACATACATAAATCATCCTTTTTCTAAGGTATCTTCTGTTTTGTTTATTTCTTTCCCATATTATTTTCACATGTTTAAAAGGCACATTATATTTGGCATCTCCCTACAGAATAGCAGAATAGGAAGTACCAACATAGTTAAAATTTTATATCTCCAAAATGAGTTTTATTCAAGTTATTGTTTTCGACATGCTTGAAAGTTATCTGTATCGTTTAAACTAACAAATTGTGCATTGTATTTATTATCATTATACAAAAATCTCATTTCTATTATTGATTATATCTGAACCAATCACAGACTAATTAATTAACTAAAATGCACATTGCTTTTTTAAAAAATGTATTGGAAATATAGTATTTATATGGTGCAGTGATTGCAAATCATCTTATGGGTGAACTATTTGTACGTAACTAAATGCAAAACATTTTAGACTGGCCCAGGATGGTCCACCTTTTCTTGAATCATGTTCCAAAAGGAATTGTATATTATGTGGAAACAATGTAGTAGCAATGGTACAATAAAGCTTTTTAAAAATAGCTTCAACATATTGTCCCATTGTGTAAGAACTTTTCCTTGCATTTGTCAAAACACATCTTGTTCTTTCACAGACTGCAAAATGTATATACCTTTTTAAAGAACACCAGAAGAGTTTATAGATACCAACACATCCAAAGATCTACTATTATTAGTATAATTTCATAGCACCCATTTCAACAGAGTTCAGGAAATGGAAAGATGAACTTCTTTTGATCATTTTTTATATTTCTATAATGGATTTGCTTTCCTTCCATCTACTTTATAATCTTTTAATACCCATATAAGTAATGATTATAATTCAGTTTTGGCTCATATTGTATATATGGATAAAATCATATAATTAAATGTATATAAGAATCACCTGAGAAATTTGTTAGAAATGTAGGTGCTGGGTCCAATATCAAATCTATTGAATCACAGTTTCTAGGAGGAGGGCCAAGGATTCAATATTCTAACAAACTCCAAAGGTGATTCTGATGCCTACCAAAGTTTGAAAACCATGGCTTTAAAATCCACTAAATTGGTAAATTAAATGTTAAGACTAAAGTTTCTTCCCTGCTTCTTAAACAGCACAAGTTAAAAACACAGACACAAAATGAAGGGGTACTGGACTTGGGTATTTTGTAGGTTCTTTGTTTGGAAAAAAAGGTGGTGGCCTAAAATGGAAAATGGATCTGTTTGGTTTGGGGTGTTTTAAAAATAAATCTAGAAGGTTAATTAAAGACAATTACAGAAGTCTGAAAATTTTTCCATAAGGTATTTCAAAGCTACTTGAAATGGTAATAAGCTATGTTATTTGCAGAAGAAAATTCAAGAATGTTTTGATCATTTATCCAATTTTGGGAGACTCCTGTTACATCCATTGAATTAATTATGGAAGTTGACTAATAAAAAAAAAAGTTCTTAGGATGAGAACTTAGCAATGCTCCTTAGCATAGAAGAGTAAGCATAGGTTGACATGCTAAGACATGTAATTACATGCCTGATATTTGAAAGCTTGTTTTTGTCCTAACCCCATCATTAAATCCTTTTTTCCCCCCCTGAAGGTCTGAGAGCTAAAATTGTCATAGGTGGTAATCAACTCAGAGGATTAACATTGGCCAAAGCTCAAAATGACCAAAATACTAATCTCGGCATATAGAAATTCTTACATGCCAACAATAGACAAATAAACAACAGGGGACATTTGATCACCTAACTCAATTAAGATGGCAGAATTAAGACTGTTTCATGGAGTTTGTTGTAAAGAAATCTCCATAAAACTACAGTTGGGACTTTCACGTAGAAAACACTCCAGGAATAAATAAATCTCCTGGTCCATGTTCAGAGTAGTTCACCTGGGGATAATGGCAGTGAGAGCGGCATAAGATTCAGAAGAATAAAAACAAACAGAAACTAAGGGAAACGTCCAAAAATCTATCGAAGCCAAGATCTGATAGGTGTGTATAGGGTTGACAATTTACAACACCTAGTTACATTGAATTTCAGATACATGACAAATAATTTTTTAGTATAAGTATATTCCTAATATACAATATAATATATAGTATAATCTTTGTAATATTATGTATTTGAGATATATTAAATATACTGAATTTTTGGTTGTTCATCTAACATTCTAATTTAACTGGGCATCATATGTCTTTATTTGCTAAATCTAACAACCTTCCATACAAGTTACTTTGCACAACCCTCCATATTTCAAAAAATGAATGCTTAATAGCCATGATTATTTTATTAACTTTTAAAAGCACTTGTTAAATTTTAAAACTACCTTTGCTATTTTGATTCCCTTTTTGTGTCTTAGCTCCCTCTTCTTTATATACATTATCATCTGAACTATATTAGTCAGCTGAAATTGGAATGGAAATGATGAGGTTCAAAAGAGGGATCAGTAAGGTGGACCAGAACAGGGAAAATGTGATGATTAATAACCTCTTCAAGAGACCTCCACCCAAAACAGAGCAGTAGTTGCTTAATAGTTATTTGAAGGAAACGGTAAAGGGGTAGTGAAAAATAAAATCTTTCTTCTGCCACTCTTTAAACCAGAAACTCTTCAAAGTTATGGTTATATAATTGGACAAGATTTTGGGGGGGTTTATATCCCAGGAAACTCTGATTCACTGTGGAGGTAATGGAAGCATCTAAATGTATCACCTCAGCACATAATTTACAGACCTTTCCAATGCTTCATATTATACATCTGTTCTCTAGAGTCTTGCTACACAAAGTGTGCTCCAAAGACCATCAGCATCACCTGAGAGTTTGTAAGAAGAGCTGAATCTGACAATCTCTATTGAATCAGAATTTGCGTGTTAGCAAAAGCCCCATAAGATGGAAGCACATTTTAAAATTATGGCTAGGTAAACATAACTCACAAACCATTTTTTTTTAATGTGTGGGCAGTTCAGCCTTGCAAAGCAAAGCTGTAAATGAATCCCACCAGCTCATAACTTCTAAATCAATTCACTGTTCTTCCAGAAGATAAGTAGTTTAGAAAACAGAGCTATCGATCCCCTAGTTTAATATTCTCAAGATTAGGATTAGAAAAAGGTTTCACTATGGTTAAAGGAATGTCATTACTTTCCAGGGACTCTTCAATCAAGACAAAGTTAGGCAAGTCATTAATGGTGATTGTCAATCTGGTATTTTGTTTAACGACCCCTTTAAGGAGTTTATGACAGTCCCCCACAGAAGAAAAGTACATATGTATATATATTCAGACTTTTGCATGAAGTTTTTAGAGATTGGTGGAACCCCTGAAACCAAGTCAGTGAACCCTAAATATTCACAGAATGAAATTAATTCTGTCTTCTATGCAGAGCTGGGGTGTTGTTGTTATTGTTGTTTTGATAGCACAGTTTCCACAAAGTCTCCCTTTACCCTGCAAAACTGATTGATGGGTAAAGGATGGGTGAACTGAACAGGGCAAATGAGCATTGTCACACTCAAGGAATCTGATGTTTCATATAACTGAAGCTTATCCACATGCCCGTTATTAAAGATGTCTTATTTTTCTAAGTAAAATTGCTTTTATGTGAAGAATCCTTAAAACCTGAGGGTAATTTTAGTACCTGTCCTTTCTTTACCTCAGCTGGCCTGGGAGCAGAAGTTTCAGTAAGGAGCATTAGAAACACGGCATCGCCCCAAGTACCCACCACTTTCAATGCCATTCCATATAGCGTGGAACACCTCATTAGCAATACCACAGAGGCCTTCACCAGCAGGACTAACAACAACTACAGGCAAAACAGCAGCCAGAGGCAGCCACCCAACCTGCAGATGACTGGAAGCACAGAGACATCTTGGGTTCCCTGGACTACTCAGCCCTTCTCCAGCACCACCCTAGAGGTAAGGGGATAAGAGGTGTGGAGTGTGGTTTGGGAAGGTCTCAAAAGGCCCATTGCTTGAAAAGACTTGCTTTACTGGAAATGCGGCCCCTTGAGCTGGTGTTTAGGTACTCTGTGTCCTGGTTGCTAATTGTCCATGAATGCATCTGGTGTAATGAGAAAATCTTTGACATAGAATGAAAATCTCTACATCTTTATAAGATGAAGATAATTAGGCCACCATGTCAGAGCTGCACTCCCATAGGCTGGCCACATTTCTGAACGAAAGCCAAGGTTCATATTCTTAGGCATCACCTAAAACCAGGAAATAGAAATTGAAATGAGTACCTTACAGGACCCCTGCATATGTGTCACAATCATGTATCCTCATATGGGAGGGGAAATAGTCACCAAGCAGTGGAAAGTTTAGGAATCGCTATGATTGACTTGTGGACATGGTCAAGGTAAGCTAAGGCTTATAGCAACTCCATATGAACATCCACAGGAGGACAGATCAATCACGTGGCTCAGGAGCAGTGATGGCACGATCAGAGTCGGTCGGCAAAGTGTTTCTGTTTCAAGTGTTCATCTCTTCTGTGTTGCTTTCCACTCAGGATTTTAGGTCACCATTTTAGGTAATAACTGTAATTAAAGGAACTCCAACAAGCTAAGGTTTCATTTGTCAGTACCTAGTTGTTTCCTAACAAGCAACCCCCAAAACTTACAGGAAATAAAAGTCCCACACTATTCATGTGATTTAACTCTTTACTTCAGTGCTCTGGCTTCTTTTGCTTTGTGCAGAATTTAATATTGCATATGGTTCCTAGATAGTGAACACATACTTCATTATTGATCACAAAACAAATACAGCTAGTCCATTGAACAACTCTTACGACTTTACTTTTATCTCAACTTTTCCTTTACTATAAATTTTCCCTGCAATCTAGCTCTTCCCTTGTCCCTGAATAGAAGTTAGAAAGGCCTCATGACTTTTCTGGACATTCTTTATATCACTTTAAAACTCAATGCTCATTCTCAATCTATCAACAAAAAAATACCCATTTCAGGGACTAACCCAAACTCTAAATTCAATTTATTTATTTTTTTAGCTGAGCCATCCTGCTACCTGTTGGCAGCTCAGCAGCAACTCAGCTCAGACCAGGAATCGAACCGGCGACACTGTTACTCAGAGCTCGCACTCTTGAGTGAGCTCTTAACCAACTGAGCCACTCAGTTGGCCCTTCTAAATTCAATTTAAATGTTAGCGTCTCCTCTCCCATCACCCATCATCAGATTGGGCTTGAAGTAGGGAAAGGGAGCATGTCCAAATTCTCCCACTCCCCAACTGGCTTTTTACCCACCTCTCCTAGTTTGATCATTATGGTTTCATGTCTACGGCTTGAAAAGTAGGGAAGGAAGACAAGAAATGGGAACAGGAGAGCTGGTATTTATGGATGCCATCATGAACTGGCACCGTGCTCTCCTTAAGCCTCCAAATCCTGAGCTCTTTCAACCACTGATATCAGTGAGACTCACCACTTTCTTTTGAAATGAAATGCTTCTTGGTGGAGCACCTCATTTTGGCTAAATGTGCCTCAGCCAAAACTGCATTCTAACATCAGTTTATGAGAGTATTCACTTACATATGAGCTTAAATATATATTTAAATATATATATTCTATACTGATATATATATATATATATATATATGATATTAAGTGCATCAAATAATAAACATGCTGAATAAAATCTACAGGCAGAAACATATCTGCCTGAGCACTAAAGAGTTAGAGCCTTTTAGAGAAAACAAATTTTCCTATTTTTGTCCAAGGTGTCATGACCATTGTGAAACAATGGCTCCCAGAGGTAGCAGGGCTCTACTGGGATGAGTCAAGGACACCTAGCTCTAGAGCTTGGTTGCAGGCATGCCAGCCCCTGGGCCCACCAGCCCCTGGGCCCAGCCAGCACTGTGTTACAGAGCTCAGCTGATCTAACCCAGAACTGGGTTTGCAGACTCAGGTCATGGCAAATACACTGTGGGTTTTGTTTGTTTGTTTATTTTTTTAGCCCTTTTCTAAAATGAAATCCAGTCTAATGTTTATGAGCTCCCAGATAGGGAGCCAGAATGACTATGCAACTATTTCATGTTCTAGTTTTTCTTGAAACTCAGGCAAAATCTTCACTCTGTCCAGGAAGCTGAGTGTGCAGAAGCCATGCTCTTTCCAAAGGCATGTTCTAAAACCACAGTTTTCTGTGACTGATACTTCAGCCAAGGCATCTGTGTTAGGTCATTTGATTTAGTAGAAGCATTTACTTTATAACAGTCTATTATAAACAGTGTAAAGTGAGTCGCTTGGGAGGTAAAATACCTGTCTTTTGAAAATGATTTTGACAGGTACTCTATCTCAATACTCAGAAGGATTATAGAAGAGAAGAATAAAATCATTCAACTTAATTGCTTGGAATTGTGTAAAAAGAAAATTTCTGTGTGTCAGTTGTTTTCTTTATCAGATAGCACCTGGTGTGTGAGGAGTTGGGATTGGTTTTGTATATTTGGGCCATGAGGTGGGATAGGCTGTTAGTGGGTGATGACAGGAAAAATCTGAATGTGAGCTTTTGGAAGGCAGGGACTCCAATTCTTGATGGGAAGAGCTGCAAAGTCACAGTGCAAAGGGATACACACACACACACCCCTACCTGCATACCTAGTCACATTCTCTTATACAGAGCTCCAGTTAATTAATATAAATTCCAAGGAGAATGTAATTTGGAATCCAGCAATCACTCACTAATGTTACTGCAAAGTTGTCCTAAGCTGACTCTTTTTGTAGCAGAATTTTCCTTACCTTTCTGCTTTCACCTCTCTTTCCTCACATTTTCACCTGAGAGTGTGAGGGGTCTATCTTTGGAAGGTTGTAGCCTTGGGCCAGCACTTGGCTTCAGAAATATCTCTCTTCTCCTTCTCTTTCTTCTTCCTCCTCCTCCTCCTCCTCCTCTCCCTCCTCTTCCTCCTCCTTAGAACTACTGAATCAGAAACACTGGTTTAGGGCCCAGAAACCCGTGTAGTAACAAGCCCTCTAAGTCACACCAAAGCACTTTTAATTTAGAGAACCACTGATCTAGATAAATCTGGTCCCCAGACTGGTCCATGGACTTCTAAATTTCCCACCATTGATGGCACTTTTGTGCATTAGGTTTTGAGGGGTAAGGAGTGTAGTGCTATAAAATCTAACTAATCAAGTAGCAGATTACTTTATCTAATTACAACCTCCTGCTATTACTTTGTGGAGTGTACGTCCTTCAAGGAATGGGGCCCAGGTTGATTAAGTGGAGCCTGGGATGATAGGGAACTGCCGCTAGACCCTGGGGTGTTTGTGTTAACTGGAAAATGGTGTTTCTGGGCACACAGCTCCACCAGGAATGCACAAGACTTGGTGCTGGAACATGGGATGGTTTTCAGTCCTCATGCACACCTTCAGCCAGGCATCCCCATGTACCACCTACACAAAGATATGCCATGTCCTATGCATGGGCCCTATTGCAGACCAAGCCAGACTGAGGTGTCAGAAAGGTGCCCTGCATACTAGAACAGCCATTCCCTATGGGCAAGGTGACACAGGCCAGGCCGAGGCAGCAGGAAGTCGATCTGTGGCGGCTTCTCAGCGATGGGGTGCAAGAAAAAGAGTTAAATGTGGAGAAGTGGCCTCCAAAGGGGGAGGGTAGGCTCTGGACTTCACTTTAGCTTCAAAACCTGACCCGCCTCCCTCTACTGTTTGAGCAGTGGACTCTCAAGAGATCCAAACTGGATCTCCTCCTAGTCGTGTGATCGTGGCGGAGGTAGTTGACCCAGTGATAAGGAGCTAGGGGTCTTGTGTCAGAGAAACCCAGTTTAAACCCTAGGAGGGTCATCCAATTACTTAATGCAAGTCGTACCTGCTTCCACTTTAAAATAATGATAATTAAAGGTACTCCATCTGCCTCATAAATCAGTCATGAGGATTAAAATCTGATTAAGCAAAGTGCTTAGTCTGTTGGCCATACAGGACAAGTATTCAATAATGTTAGCAATTAATACTAACTTCTTGTTTTTGCTCCATCATTCCTGCCCTGTCAACTTCATAGGGTGAGCATAAGAACCAGATGAGTAACGTGAAAATGCTTTGAGAGGGATACATGTTGAAGATGGCTGTGTTCTGAGTCTGCTAAACACCCCTAAATCTTGTTTGGAGGCACACCTCCTTCTTCCCTTCCACGCCCTGCCCTAGCCCTGGCCTGGGAGAGGGACTGCATTTCCTTGGTTCATGAATAGGCATTGTGGTGCTGATCTAGGTTTAACAGTTCTGGGCTTCCTTCCATTTGGCCTTCAAAGAGGTCACAGCCCAATGGGAGTCTCCAAATAAGTGACAAGGCAAATGCAGAAAATCCCCAGCCCCTCAAGTGTGTGGTAACCTCCTTTATTGTGTTACTTAAATTACTTGAGGGGGGCGGAGCTCTCCCCACTGCCACCACTGTTCCTTGGCCAGAAGCAAAAATGGGACAATATTCCCCTTTACTAAGGCAGTCACCTAGAAGTGCAAAGATGTAGCAAAACAAACAAACAAAAAAAACCCTAGTCATTCCTCGTGAACAAGGACTCTTAGCTTGACTATGGATGGGATAAAATCATAAGCAGATTCTGAGACTGCTGACAGTGCAAAAAGGCCACGCAAGGGAGTAATATATCATGGAAGGGATGTGTTCCTGAAGACCCTAATTTATAGTTAGCATTATTCAAGCCTAATTTGGACAAAGGACTGTAGTTTTCTTGCCAAGTGGATTACCATGCACCAATAGCATAATACCGTTTAAAATTCACTGGACCCTCTTCAGTCTTAACATCTCAAGGATTTTAAAGGAAAGCCCTGCTAGCGATGTATAACCCAAATCTAATCACAAGGAAATGTTGGACACATGCAAATGGAGGAAGAAACTATAGAACTAACCAACCTGTATCATTCAAAAAGATCAATGTCATAAAGATTA